CTGCCTGGGGTTCGAGTAGATGGTGTCGGAGGAACGCGCCGCACCGCCGGTGCATCGGCGAGGCCAGCGGGGAGGCACACCGGGCTCCACAGCGAGCCGCCACGGCGACGACTCTGCGGCGCGGCGCGGCGCTCCGACCCCACCTCCTCCGACCCATCTAGGAGGCCTAGAGTCCAAGGGTACGCTCCTCGGGGATCGACAGACCTCCCTTTAATAAAACGTGGTTTAGTGAAAACGACCTGAGGCCCAAACCTGGCGGGCGCAAGCCTGGAAAATAACGGACACGGCGCCCTCTCGAGAGCCGAAAACGGACAATTCACTAATCGACGTGTCACTGTTGGGGGTTCTGTCCACCCCCGAGCTCCCCAGGATGCGCCAGAGCCTCCGACGAGCACGAAGAGCGTCAGGCTACCCTCCCCGCACCGACCCCCGGGAGGGCCTCCTGGCCGACGATGCTCTCGTGTGCCCTCAGGAGGCGGTCGTGGTCCTGCCGTCCCCCGCCGGCGCCGCCCCCCCCCCAGGGCGAGTGCCCGAAGCACCCTCCCAGGACATCCGGCTGCTTCAATTTTTTCGATGCGTGGGCCCTGAGGTCTGGATGACTACCTACCAGACCACCCCAACCCAACCCGAAGACCCGAATTTCGGGTTGGGGGGGGTAATGGTTCCACATGTGTTTTTTCAAGGTTTCCCGACCCCCCCCCACTGGAAATCGAGGGTAAATCTGAGCCTTCGGGTTGGGTTGGGGTGGTTTGGTGGGTGGTGATGGACCACTTCTGCAGAGGCGGGCCTTCTGAGATGCCTCCTGTGTTTTCGGGGCACGCTCAGCACACTTCTCCGAGGGCCGGGGGACTTTTGAGCCTTGCGAAGAAAAGGCCTTCTCGGTTTGCCTTCCCCCCCCCCCAGGCTCGCTGCCGAGCCACGTCCCTGGGGCCGTTGTTTCGGCCTGGTTGTTTTTGTTCGACAAACGGCGAGGGCCCCCGGAGGCCGAATAGGGCCCCAACACCACCCGCTCCGATGTTTGTTGGACCGTCGGATCTCTGGGGCCTCCGGAGGCCTCCGTGGAATCCTCTGGGGGCGCCTGGAAGCCTCCCGGGGCCTCTTGGGGGAACTCCTGGAAGTTGGAGGCGGCCAGGGGGTCTGAACTATTAACGGGCGAAGAACGGTATAAAATAAACTGTTTCGCTTTCGGGGGCGCCTGTCCCTGGGCAGCTGGAAAATTTATACCCCTCGGAGCCCCGAAACTCGGTCAGAAGGGGGGGACGAGGCTAAACCGGCTCAAAGTCGGTCCCCAGACCCCTCCCAGAGTGTCCATCTGGTACAATGTTTCACCCTGGATTTAGGTCGGGCATGTCCCCCTGCAGGCCGATTTTCGAGGACAAATTACAGACAGTCAAAATATATTCAAACATGATATTAAACAATGCCACAACATAGTCCCAAAACTATGTCTAACTATTTTGGAATATTCCTCCTGTAGAGGAACATGCCCGACTTAACCCTGGACCCGTTTTTCACGGTCGCGGGGCCCGCCATCGACCCCCGGAAGCTGCAGGAGGCAAACAACTTTCCCAAACACAGAACCTCGAACCTGCCCTCCCGTCTTGCCGTCCGGACCCAGTGCTGGGCCACCTCTCGCCATCGCTCGGACGTGTATCCCCTGTGCATGCTTCGGTTTCGTGCGTGCATTTGTTGCTAGGAGAATAAAAAAGCTCCTGGATGGTCCTCGCCGGGGGAAAACGCACACGTCCGAGTGATACCAAGACCCCAGACCCCAGACGGCTCCATCTCCCAGGACCTCCTCGAGAACCTACTCTGCAGGAGCGCATTTGTTCACTCGCGGCCATGGCGGGCGTTTTGCGGGGGGAGAAGGGGGGGGGTGGACGGGAAGGGGCATGACGCAGCTCCCCCCCCCAGACTGTGGTGCCGGACCCGCTGCGGCAGTGCCGGGTAAGCACTGATGGGTGGCGGGGGGGGGGGCGCCAACGTTATGGGGAGGAGGAGAGGAGGAGGAGAGGCTGGGAGGAGAGCGACGGCAGGGGGAGGAGGAGGGTAGAGGGCATAACGCGCGTTATGGCCCAGAGGGTATTTTATGTAAAAAAGCGCTCTACGAGGGAGGGGAGCTCGCAGCGGCCGCACGCTGGGGGACGGCAACGAGGTGGTGTGCGCCCGCGCGGCAGTGGCCTCGCAGCCGTTCGCTGCCCGCACTCGGCCTCCGGTCTGTGGGCAACTACTGAGAGGGAGGACTTCGTCGGAAGGAATGGGGAAAATTCTAAGGCGAGGCCAGTGCGTTTGACTAACAACAGAAAAAAAACACCACCCGATCCCTGGAATCGGCGGGCGGAATCGGGGTGAAGGTCGTGCATGGCGAGATGCCTTGGGCAAAACTCTGCCCCGAGATCGCCCCTCCCCATTCCGCCCGCCGACTCCCAGGCCCTCGGGTGGCGGGCGTCTTGGGGATCGGGCGGCTGTTTTGTTGTTGTTGTTGTTGTTGTTGGTGTTGTTGTTGTTGTTGTTGTTGTTGTTGTTGTTGTTGTTGTTGTTGTTGTTGTTGTTGTTGTTGTTAGTCAAACGTACTGGCCTCGCCTTAGAATTCTCCTACTTCTTCCGACGAAGCCCTCTCAGTAGTTGCCTACAGACCGGAGGCCGAGTGCGGCCACCTCAGAGAGTTGTTTTCTGCTAGTGAAGTACGAAGATCAATTCGGGTGGGGATCATTGGAGAATCTTTGACATCCAACGGTTCTGGAGGATGCCTTGAGCACCGCGGCCTCCTCAGAGCGTCCTGGAACGCTCTGAGGGCGTTCCGGAGCTTCTGGAACGGATTTATCCTCGTGCTAGCCCCGTCCGAAATTAAGCCCTATTGGGGGGCTGTCACGGCGGACTAGGCCGCGGATTAAGCGGGACTAAGCCGGAGTAAGCGGGATTCAGCTGGATTAAGCCCGATTGAGCCAGAGTAAGCCAGATATCGAGCGAGAGCGAAGTCAGATTTGACCTCCCAAGAATTTCATCCGTATCCTGAGAAGAATGCGGGCCTCCAGCGCAAGCGCAGCCCTGGGAGAGGAAGGGTGTGGCGAGGCGGGTGCTTTTGGACCTCAACGGCAACTCCACACCCTCCACGGTGAAGTCGGGCTGCAGCTGTGGGAAATCCAGATGCAGACTGCTGTGAGACGGATACGTTACAGGCGGATATATCATCACCACCACCATCATCATCACCATCCTCCTCATCGTCGTCAACATCATCAACAACATCATCAACATCATCATCAACAACAACATCAACTTACGCCCCCTCCCCAGACCCGGGACGCAAATGGGAGACGGCGGGCGCGCTGTTGCCTTGGGCCGCGCCGCGCGCGCGCGCGGGCTGGCGGCTGGGCGAGTGTTCGGCGGCTGGGCGGGCGTGTGGGGCGGCGGGGTCCTCCACCTGCGCCTCGCGGGTGCGCCGCGCGGGGGGGCAGGATAGGGCAGGACGGCGCTCAAGACAGGTCTTCGGCGGAAGGGCCAAGCTCGTTGATCAAACAAACATCTACTGCGTGCTCCATCGATCATGTTGTCAGCACCGCTGTGAATGGCGGCATCTCACAGCCATACCCGCGGGGGGGCAGGGCATAGCAGGAGGAGGAGTGACTATTTGGCACTAATTGGCTACGGCGGGTTCGTGTTTGGCGTTGGTTCTTGGCGTCGCGGTGATCGTTCCACCTTGAACGATCGGCCGTTCCCGAAGGTCATATCGTTGAATGTAGACCGATTCTGGGTCGCCGAAGGCGATCAACGTTGAACGCCAGCGACGGGGTCGCCGCTGGTCGACACGACGCGAACCTGCCGTAAGCACATGGTAGCGGGGGAAAGTGGGTAACAGAGCTCACCCCAGGCCTTGTTGTGCCAACACAGCCTTCAAATGAGTGGGTCCACCTTCCCGCCCGGGCGTGGGCATTGCTCGATCCTCGAAATGTTGATTCGACCTTTCCTGGCCATGGGCTCGCACTTGGCAAACAAATGATGGGCATCCCACGTTGTATATTGCCACATCCTGTGCAAGGCGTGCAAGCAAATTTTGTCCAACAATGCAGTGCGGGTCTCAGGCACAAGCCTGCCGACTTCAACCTGGTCGCCCCCAGCAAAGATACCGTCTCTGCGGATAATTCCATCGAGCAGCAAGCAAGATACGAAACCGGGTGTTTGACCCCCGGTGCTCCACCCCCGAACTCACCAGGGGGCGATCTGGCCTGGCCGCGAAAGGTTCAATATCCCGCCCAAGGGTTCCATCCCTGGTAGAAGGGTTCAATCCCTGGTAGAAGGGTTCAATCCCCGGATATGGGTTCAATCCCCAGCAGAAGGGTGCAATACCAGGCACCCACCCAAACCATATTTAGGTC